GTAGTAGTTTCTCGTGTTTTTCTAGTCAATCAAGCTCAGTTGACAATTTAGTTATATGTTTGAGATGTAAGAATTGGGGCTACAATTTTTTGGGGGTAAAGTTGGGGTCAATCAAATAGGTCTTAAAGAAGTTTATGGGCCACGAAAGTTGCATTTTAAATATTGCAATTTTGCCTAGTTAGATAGTTTGTTTGAGTTCTACTTTTTTAATTACTGAAATTATCACGTGAAATTTTTATGCAATGCGTTAGTGATGACGGGAGTAAAAAATAATGAATGATGAATGGACTACAATGTCTCAAAGATTAATTACCATTGGAAAGCAGCTTGAAGTTCAACAAGTAAATCGTGATCATCTTATAATTTGAGTAAGTAATGAAACATTTTAATTGGATGATCTGATTGAATTATAATTTTTTAAAGGATGTAACTTGCCACGTGAGTTTTTTGTGCGACATATTAGCAATGAGGGGGACGAAATGTGATGGATGATGAATAGAGTGCAACGACTTAAAGATGAGTGACCATTGAGAAGTAATTCAAAATTTTATGAATAAACCATGATTATATTTAAATTAGGTGAATGATTAAAGATCTTAGTCCATCTTTTATTGAATTTTAAGTTTCTGTTTGGTGGCCTTTTTTTTCTTTTTTTTTTTGGAAAAGCATTATTTTAAATAATGAATTTTTGAAGAATGTATGGATAAAAAGTAAAAAATAAATTTAGGTATAATTGTAGAATATTTCATTGTAGAAATATATGATTGAAAATAAGTTATAAAAGAATGAGTTTTGAAATATTGGGAGAAAAACATGGGCTAAATAAAGTTTTTGACATTTATTTATTTTATTTTCATATCCCATTACTCCATTTCCTGAATTAGCTATGACAGAATTACGTGAAACCCTGTCACTCTTGCTAAACCTTCTCAAAAGTTGAGCATTACAAATGTCAAAGATCTTTTCTAGCTTTTGTCTGGGTTTGCTGAATACCAGTTTTCTGACCGTTGGTTCCTTGTTTAACATTTTAATATTGGAAAAATATCTGACAAATCTTTAGTATACGCCCAGGCATTTACACTCGACTTCCCAAATTTGCCTTCCTCATTTCGCGCCTCAACCATCCCTGTAATTTCCCTCTCCACCTACCTCGTTCCATAGTGCGAATTCCTTTTCCAACCCGTCGCAAAATTCAGATGTCCCAATCCTGCAGCAAATATTACGAGTTGTTCGACGATTCCTTGACTACAGTGTAATAGGAACCACAGTCGTCAAATTTTGTGTCTACCCATTCAATTGCACCCATGCACCATGGATTTGTATTTCTCCTTGATATGTATCGGAAATTCCTTCTTTACACCCGGCTTGTGTGGGCATGATTTGTGACTCTCATTCCCCAATTTCTAAGCCATCTCTTTTCTGTATATAGTCGTAGAAGGTTTTCAAAAATTCCACCACTTCCAACCGTCCTCCAAGCAAGCTTTAAATAGGGCAGGAAGAACGCTCAATAGACTCCCCACAAGAACTAAATCTTCGTTGCTGCATGTGATACCGTCATAACGGATGGTCACCGTAATGTAAAGCGCTTCACGAAACATGGGTGGAATACACTCGTCTACTTGTTCAACGCCAACTCCGATCATGATAGGAACAAGCAGCAATTGAAGAATCACTGGGATGCTCTTTGGCAAAAGAATAAACGTTTTCAGAAGTTGTTGAACTGCACTGGGGTCGAATACAACTTCGTAAGAGCGTGCATTGTTGCCTCCAATGAGTGGTGGGTGCAATTTTTTGTAATGGCACATGAGAATGTGATTGTCTATCCATTTAGAATCTGCATCCGTTTTCTGTATTGTACTTCGAGCAATCATGATTAGCAACATCCATTTGTGTAAAACCTTATGACTACTTTCCATGCTCATATACAGTTGCCTCACTTCATTCCAGTTACACTCATTTTGTCTGGCTTCTGAAACATTGTGAATTTGCTTTTTTTCGTTTGGAACAGGAGAACAAGGAATATAAAGATTTAAAAGACAAAGACTGCAGGAAGATATTGAAAGCCCAAGAATAGCTAACCAAGATGGGGGGAGGGGTAAATTGGTTGTTTAATTTTTTTTTTTTTTCGAAAATAATCGCAATCTTAAACAAATAGCAAATCAATTAATTTACAAGTAAGATGGCACAAATAAGAAAGTAATAAGTAAAAGAGAAGATAATGCGCAAACGATGTAATTATGGAGGTTCGATCCAATCAACGATCTACATTCCCGTTATCAAGCTCTCTATCACGAGCAAGACCATTTTCACTACTGTTAATTGACTTATGACATAATTCAACCCTTACAACATTTTCAGTGACTTATAATCAAGGAGCACTGATTCTTTTACAACATTGAAATTTCCAAGACTTCAACACAACTCGCAATAAAAAAATGGATATTACAAATAAAAGTTTCTCTCTTAATAAATGATATGATCACAATTAAATATCAAGAGAAAAGTAGGCTAACATTTTAATAAATAGCAATGAGTATAGTTCAAGTGTTAGTTGTTGAAAATGTAACGCCCCGAAATCTTTTCATCCTCATTATTTTATTCTGTTAAAAAAATAGGTACGAGGTGTTACCAAAATCTTTTTCATCTACTTTAAGCGGAAATTTCACTTTTATTAAGTGTTGAAATTTAAAAATGTGATAATAACAAGCTTAAGTAAAATTTTCTTATTAAACATAATTCTTGAAATACTCAATTCCAAACTATTAGTTTAAGATTTAACAAAAAATGTCGAATGCAGATCTCTAAAAAATTAGATAACGTACATTAACATAAAAGTATTATTCAAATAAAAGTTGACAATTATATTTTTTGAAAACTTTACTTGGCGACCCCATTACATCACTCGATCAATCTTTCACGCTTCCACACGACCCGTTCTCATCTGACAAGTTACTGTAGGAGTGAGTATTTTGAAAAATACTCAATAAGAATACGTGCACGTTCTTATAAACATGATATAAATATAAAATTGACATAACATATCGACACTTCTTATATTTAAAGCTCAAGGAATTTCTCAAAAATTTCCATATACCGTAGGATTTAACATAACTGACCCAAAAATCCATCCCGTAGGATTCAACATGCTTGACCTAATGGTCTATCATGAAGGATTTAACATAAAATTCGACTCGAAAGCCTTACAGTATTTCATGTCAAAATTTATATAAACATCAAGAAATAAAAATTTACCACTTTTCACAATGTATTCTTGCCTCAATTGACACCAAAATAATATGAAAATATGAGTTGAAGAATGATATAGAAAGTAAAATTCCATCAACGGTACGATGAATGTGTATAATTGTAGAAAAGTGGATTTTTTTCCTTAAAGTAAACACAGTCTCACCAAAATTTATAATATATATGTATACAATATTAAATTATAAACTGCAACTCAATCAATTATAACTCCTTTCAGGTTAAAGAATGAAATTATGAGGTAAATTAATTAAGTTATTATAAGTTAATGTATTAATTAGGTTTATTTACTTTAATTATATTAAACCTTTACAATTCTTTCATGTTGCATCGTCCAAACTCTAGAAGGTTATATTTTATATTATATGTATAAAAATAAAATATTAAAGAAAGGCATTTTTCTTCTATGAGAATAACTCGAATATAACAAGTTTAAAAGTTCTTTTTCTTGAACCCAATTTACGTTATTTAACACAGTCTACAAAATGAGTATAATATGGATATATATTTTATTAACTTTTCAAATATTTAAATATTCGACTCAAATAACTTGCGATAAATTTTTAAAAGTACACGTAAGCGAATAAATTATTTATGCAAATAAGTAGGTCGAGTTTATTACTTCAACTTTTAAACTTTAGTGTGATAACAAAGCTAGACATCGACTATTCCATTTGCTAAATGACCAATATTAAGTTTAGACCCCATATGAAAATAGTAAAAAAAATTTGGGGTGTTATAGAAAAACTTTAATGAGAAAAAGATTTTTACAAATTTGATCACTCAAATTTTTTTTTTCAAGAAATAAATATTTTGATCTTCTAAAGATTGAAAATAAAGTAGTTGATATCAATAAAAGTCTCACTTAAATGCTCAAAGAAGATTGTTGCAAATGAGAAAGAGAAGTGGCATTATAGCACTCAAACGAGCAAAAACTTCTGTCCGGTTGGGATCTGAACTATTAAAAAAAATTAGACATTTGAGTCAGAAGCAGAACGGTAAAAAAGTGATCGTTGGGCATCCGGATATCCGGATGGGCAGAGAAATGCCCCCGGACGTTTTTCCTTCGTGATGAATTTGATCGATGTAGGTTCTTGAAAGATTTTCTCACTTATGTTGTAAAGATAAGCATTTTGTACATATTTGATCATTGAGTCGAAATACTGACCTTTTTAAATTTTAATTTTTATATAAATGTCTTTTGTAATGTAAATTTGAAAATAATGAGGAGTTTCTGCAACAGTTACAAGATGAGGTCCAATTGGATGGAAACCGTCCAAAACACATCAGTTGACTAGGAAAATTTCTTGAACTATCTGTTACCGCGACAATTTTATTGGACGTTGATACCTTTTTTATGGTATTTTTGGATAATTTTATTGAATGTTGATTTCTTAATTTTTCTAGTCAACTGACGGTGTTTTGGACGATCTCCGTCCAAATATACCTCAAGTGAATATTTATAAAAGGTTAGAAACCTCCGTTAATGCAAAATGAATATTAGGGTAAAATTTGCAAAAAAATGAAAATCTTAGGAATTTTCCCTTATTTTCATGTGTCGGTGGTCCCACAAACCACATGACTAAGGCTGACAAAATGACATGAATAAGGCTGTACCTCATTGAAAACGGTCAAAGGTAATTTCAAGTGGTAGCTAAATTCAAACCACATACATGAGGGACCAAACGGTAAAATCCAGGTGGTGGGAAATGAAATCCACGGTACACTCCTTGTAAGTGGGCCCCTGGATGTGTCCGAAAATCAATTTTCTCCATGAAAAAATCAGGCCCAGACATGCGCCTAGTTCATTTAAGCTGCTGCTTCTCTAATCAGTGATCACGCTACCTCTCTGGTAATTTTTCTTGCTCCATCCTTTTCTCGATTCCGTGGCATATTTTGTAAATTTTGATACTCATTGGGTCTTTAATTTTTGGTTTTCTGTTCTAATTTTTCTTACAATTGTATGGTGGATTCTGGAAATTAAATAATTTTTTCTGGAAATGATTTTCGTTGCAGCTTTAAATTTTAATTTATAGACAGGAATTTATGATATTTGGTAGGGTTTTGTATTTCCACATTGGAGAATTCCTTTTGGAACCATGTAATTTCTGTTCGTAGTATAACTCTTTCTTTTATTAGGGAAATACTAAAATTTTCAATCTAAATTTAAACTTCTGTATTAGTCACTTTTATGAAATGTAAAAGAAATAATTTTTATTTTTTGAGCAAAAAGATCACATATTTCCATTTTTTTTTTTATTGTATACTATTCCGGGAGTTCGGAAGTCTCATTGGTTATATAAACAGGCCAACGCAAAGGAAATGCCATGTTAGGGAAAGAAATGTAAAGTCTATTATTTACTTTCTTGGTTTTATCTAAATTTTGGTATTCGAAACTTTTATTTTAAAGAGGAGAAGAAGTGAAATGGATAAGATTTACATTTTTAATCCTAAGATTTTTATTCTAGTTGTTTCCAAATTTTGAAGCGTTCAATTCTCACTATTGCAATTCTTGAGAAAAGAGGTTCAATAGTTGTATGGAAAAGTGGCTAATCTTAGTTGTTACTGATATCAATTTGTGTATATCTACCACAAAAGTAACATAAAGAATTTATTTCAGCAAACACAACAATGGCTGAGGCTGCAACACCGGTTGTCCCAAGTGTTGAGTTGCTGGAATGGCCGAAGAAAGATAAGCACCGATTCTTGCATGCTGTGTATCGAGTGGGAGACCTTAATCGCAGCATCAAGTTCGAATCCCCCTCCAGAAAAAATAATATGCACTAAGATGTGGTATCCTTAATTCTTTTTGAGTTCAATTTACTAACTTGTTCTTTAATGTCTTAGGTTTTACACTGAATGTTTTGGGATGAAGCTATTGAGGACGAGGGACATTCCAGAAGAAAAATATTCAAATGCTTTTCTTGGGTTTGGCCCAGAAGACTCTCACTTTGTGGTGGAATTGACATACAGTATGTCGAGGCTTTTCAATTTCAACATTATTAATCACTGTTTAACAAGTTCTTGATTTGACATGGTTGATTAGTTGTGGGTTCATTATGTATCACCTCAATTGCGCACTTCTGCATTGGCAGTTAATAGAGTGCTTGTGATATAGTTAACAAACATTTCTTTTATACTTACAAGCTGCACATCACACTTCAAGAGCTGATTGATGAGCGTAAATTTTATACTCGCCATCCCTCCTCCCTCTTCTCTCAGACATGTGCACGCACAGATGCACTAGATGCTTACCCATCCAATCAATCAGAAAGGGTGAGGATATCCCAGTAAATGGTGTTCTTAATTTATATTCTAGTGGAATGGACAACTCTACGAATTGCAAATGTCGAACTGAAAATAATCTGGAGAGTTATTTCTTTCCCATTGATTAATCAAAATTCATGGTTGGTTCTTTCTGATGTTGTTCCCACAGACTATGGCGTTGATAAATATGACATTGGAACTGGATTTGGACATTTTGCCATTGCCACCCAAGATGTAAGTGTTTATATTTATTGCCTTTTCTTTGGAAAAAAGTGCAAGTGCTTATCTGTTGGCCATATTATGATAACTATTACCTAATTTAGTTTTCCTGGCATTTTCTGTTTCTATCTGTTAGGTTTACAAACTGGTTGAAGACATAAAGTCCAAGGGCGGAACAGTCACACGTGAGCCAGGTCCAGTTAAAGGTGGATCATCTGTCATTGCATTTGTTAAGGATCCTGATGGCTACCTTTTTGAACTTATTCAACGCGGTCCAACTCCTGAACCACTCTGTCAAGTGATGCTTCGTGTAGGTGACCTTGATCGTTCTATCAAATTTTATGAGAAGGTGAACTCTTCTTTCTTTTTAATTTGTACAAGTTTGTTTTATTTTTTGAAGCTACCTCTTCGATTGATCTATTTCTGGTGGTCTGATTTATACTCTTCCTGTGGATCCATGTGCATAAATTACTGAAACGTCTGTTATGCCTGTTTCTAAGAATTAGTACGTCTATCAGACATCATGGAGATCGTGATAAGGCTAAAATGTTGGAAGTGAAATATCTAGAGCTTGTGTGGAAGTGATTATATAAGGAGTGTTATTTTTATTTTTATTTTTTATTTATTATTAATTTTTTTGGGAGAATGTGAGGTTGAAAATGAGTGAAGAAAATTGATTTTTACACGAGCACTTACCAGAAGCATGCATGTAATTAGAAAGTTCCATTTTCATCCTTCGAAAATAATGGTATCAGCAGTCTCTTCCTTATGCCTTTGACTTCCATATAGATACTGCAATATCTATGTGCCGTCTGGACTGGTTTGCTGCCCAAGGATACATACTCCTCCCTTATCTGGAAGTATGCTGACATTTATCCCTCTTTATTTCGCAGGCATTGGGGATGAAACTCTTGAAGAAAACTGACAGACCAGAACAAAAGGTGTCACCGACCGAAATACATTTGTCCTTTGAACTTCAACATTTTTATTTTCATCTGGGATTTGCTAACACGGTGACAACATATGTTGTTAAACTCTGCAGTACACCATAGCAATGATGGGATATGCTGATGAATATGAGACAACTGTCCTTGAGTTGACATACAATTACGGCGTGACTGAATATACCAAAGGAAATGCATATGCACAGGTTTGTTTTATGCTTGTGAAAATTCTTCATTTTATTATCATCCGTCTTCTGGCCTCATGGTGGATGTAATAATATTTCTAGGTTGCAATCAGTACTGAGGATGTATATAAAAGTGCTGAGGTTGTCAATCTTGTAACCCAAGAGCTTGGAGGAAAGATAACTCGGCAACCAGGACCAATTCCTGGACTCAACACTAAGGTCACTTCTTTCCTGGATCCAGATGGGTGGAAAACAGTAAGTTCTCAGGGAACCAGACTGTAACATGGATTTTGATATTAATATTAATGTTGCATTATCTGTTTAAAGTTTCGCTTTTCCACTTGTATCATTCAAGTACCTCTCTTCCACCCCCTACATGCTTATAGTTAAGATTATGTGCTTCAGTTTTGAATGCTATATATGAGATGAGACAAAAAGATCTTTACTGGTTGCACTGTGACTTGTTCTGAACATTGGCTAGCTCATTGTGATAGCTTCATCTTGGTGTAAACTCATTTCACCATTTCTTCTGTATTTAGGTTCTGGTGGATCACGCAGATTTTCTGAAGGAATTGGAGAGCGAAGAGTAACGAACAAGCGCACAAGATGGTGATGTGCTGAAGGTATTAGGTTTCATTTCTGGGGTAACAGTTCAACTATGGTAAATAAATTTCCCCAGGCTGTAGTATCTGTCAGTAGAGTTTTATTACAGTCCGAATGCACTATTTACTGTCTTGAGTACTCAGCGTGCTGTTCTCTGATGTATTTTACTGCATTATCAATAAGTACTTGTAAACTTTTCTCTGAGATTTAATCAAGTCAGAATGCAGCATTGTGTTTTAACTATGTTTTGCTTTATATTTTCAGATCAAACCGTAATATGGCAAAGAGTAACTGTCAAAATGTTCCACATTACACCGTATAGTCTCCAAATTCGTTCTTGAGAAATTCACTCATGAAATCTTTGAGGCTTGTATAAAAAATTGAATTCCAGTATAGACAAGGAGCTGATATTTTGTATTTGTTTGAGCCCCATTTTTTTTGAAAATTCAATTTTTAAAAACTCATTTTCAATCAGCTTCTCCAATAAAATAATATTAAATGTAAATCAAATCTTTTTTCTTAATTTTTAACCATGCATTCTCAAAAATCACTATTCAAAAATATAATTCTCTCAAAATGGGGCTTTACGTGCATGGAATTATTGACATCAAATTCAAACTAAAATTTTTGGTTATGGAACTAGCAAAGACTAGTGTTTCCATTGCCACCAAAACCCTTCATGTACTAAGCTTGTTGCCCAATTATTTGTCTTGACTTGAGCTCGTTTAACATGGTTTTTGAAAAGTCAAAAGGAACTTTTGAAATTCAAAATCAGCTTTTGAACTTGTTTGGTTAATTTTGTGAAAGTGCTTTTGTTAATTAAAGGAGTTATTAGAGTATGTTGGTCCAATTTGACTTCAACTAAAAACTCCTCTATAAGAAGCAAAAGCAAAAGCAAAAATCATACCAAACGGATCATTAACATCTCGAACTTCTTTTGGCCAAAACAAACTTTAAAACGGTATGGAGGGAAAAATAACCAGGCCGATAACCATCTAGATAACTTAAAAAAAATTGTTTGAAAATTGGTTACGTACTATGTCCACCGGAAGATTTGTTCAAATTCTGTAACGGAAGATTTGTTCAAATTCTGTGGTTACAAAACATAACCACCGTTACCCTAGGTGAATAAACTTCTAAATATACACATAACACGTTTCTGGGAATGTCTCTCTCCACTTGTATACAAGTTAATAAGGCCTCCTAGTTGAAGGTAAAACAAATTGTGAAAGAAACAGAAGATAACACCCTGATGGAGAAAGGTATCCATGTGCACTGTTCAGACGAAGTCTTTGGAAACTGCGTCTTAACCACCTAAAGAAGATTGTGTCCACTTATGAATCTGAATCATTCCTTTCTTGTTGGTTGAGAATTGAATAAATACAAAATAATCCAATTCAGGGGTTTTTAACTTTAAAAAAAAAAAAAAAAAAGGTTGCACCCCAACCTTGAGGGCCCCCCACCTATTTAACTGTATCTATAGGATAGCAACCAAGAACTCGAAGAAACCTTGCAAATTCCTGTAGAATAAAGAGTTACTTGTGTATAATCCTCATGAGTTGTAGCATGAATATACACAAAATATTTATCATGAACAAATTTATACATGCAGGGTGGGTATTCATGAGGAATCATTCTTAAGGCCATCTTGACTAAAAGTAAAGACTATCTATGTGTGAGATTGTCGCAGGTCTGCATAAATCTCATCATGATATTAATAATCAACAGTCTACTGGCATTACAATCTACCTAGAGTTGTATCTTTTTTGCGTTTCTTTGGATTATAGGGAAATTAAATTCACCAGCACACCCCTTTAAATGTGGAAAAAGAACAGAAAGCTGACCTGAAGATGTCCCAGAGCGTATTGAGCACGAGGCTCTGCCATAGATGCTTCAAAGTCAATGTAAAAGAGATAATCGAAGTACCTGCAATTGGAATTTAGTCAATTCTACTCTTTCAACAGCACCAATGTTGATTTATATTGACTTGTGCAACAAGAATATATTAACCCCTTAAAGTGAATTTATTGAAGTACTTATTGTTCCTGTACTTTGTCCTCTTGGTTATGCACACGTTTCGAGTAAAACTAATATTGGCTATTGGAAAGCAAGGAGATCTTTCTCTGATCATCGATCTGCTCAAGTTGTATTTCATGTCTTTTACTACCCATTTGTCATTCTTCTTGTTCAAGACATCAGGACAGGCAGACAGAAGAATGTTCCTAACAACATATTCTTACTCTCCCTTTCCAGTTTTGAAAGATGGAGCAGGTAACGGCATATTGAAGTTAATTAGTAGCAGTATCTCAAGCTATGCATAGCACTGTGGATCAAACAAAAACCATACTTGAAAAATTATACGATTTTGCCTGGCATACTCTTCAAAGTATTTTCTAGAGAAGCATTTTCTTGAACAAAAGAGCAGATGTAGGACCATACTACCATATAACAATTGCAGGAAGGAAAAGAAGAAAACCTAGTTACCTAAAAGTCTGATAAACAAGTCGAAGCTGTTAATCAAAGCACATAACACTGGTAATATTACTAATTATAAAATGACACTCACGTGGCTCTCCCCTTGTTAGAGTCATCAACGACCCTAAGCGGGTGTCTTTTCTGCGGCCGACTCTCAATCTGTAGTTATGTTTTCCAGCAAACAAACAACCATGAAAGCTATAGACGGTGAAAAATGGAACTGTAGTTAAAATCATTCTCATAATTACCTTTGATAAATTAATTTCCCTCAGAGCAAACACTGCTAAGGCCTTGAAAAGAACCCCAGGTCCTTCTTCCAGAGTGAATACAATACTAGTCTGGAAAAGATAACAAGAATTACTTCTATCTTCACAAAAATGATCAAATGAGTCTGAATAAAGAATGATACCTTAAAAGGTCTATCTGTTCCTGGGATGATAGGTTCCCTCTCAAGTATCAGAAAACGGGTAATGTTATCAGAGTCATCCTGTTTGGTACATCACAAAACTAAAAAAATTTAAGGATTGTAACATTATATCATCACCATGGCTACAGAAGGATAAGAATTATATTCCCAAAAAAGGCAATATCACATATGGTAAACTGAGTTGGAAGCCTTTTAACTATCCAAAGAGGAATTCACCTGGAAATTGGCAGGTGAGATTTCAGTATTATCCTACTGAAACATGTTAGCTAGGTGAAAGTGAAACAGAAGCAAATTAGAAGTGTAAGGAGAAACAGATGGGGTCTGAAATCCTTTGTTCCAAATCAAAAAATGCAAGAGGAGTAAGGTTGGGAAGTAGAAATAGTTTAAAATTAACGCAAACTAGGAATAATCAGAGAGAAGAATTAAGCAAGACATTTAACCAATTTAACATTTCAGTCTCCCATACTTGTGAGTGCAAACCCTAATTGCATTAGGCTTGTGATTTTTTGAAATAGTAAACTTCATAGTAATGGCATCCTTTTCCTAGTTTTTTAAAACATAGGAAAAAATCCCCCAAACATGCAGTGAATGTATGCAGTGGAAAGAAAATACTCGAAAACGAGATGCAAATTGACCGTGGTCTGGCAAATAGCCGACAACCACAAGAGAAGGAGAATCACTTCAGAATGAATACATATATTATGAGACTTCCATCACCCACTAAACCTCTCCTCACAAAAAATTAGAACGCTCATCGCTTGTACCATTTTGTATCTTGTTTCTCTCTACACCCAACAGGAAAATCAGCGAAAAGCCTCACCTGAATTCCTTGCTCAAGAATATCAAGCCCATAGATTTCTGCAGCTCGAGCACTTGCAACTGCTCCAGTGTTTCTCACCCCTGCAGAGGCTACAACCTGTTCTAGTGTTAAATTGGCTTATGAAAGTTTATAAGTTAAGAGTAATCAAAATATTACCTGAGCAGCACCAGCCGAATCCTCAGCACTGACTCTGGTAACACCCAACTTGTTTAATGTGATCTCACATTGATCTAGAGCCTGAAAACACCAGAATTAAATGTGCTTACCGTATTCAAGGACACCAGAAGTTAGGAGTAAAAGAGGGCCATCCTTTTGTTCCATGTATCTTAAGAAACTATGTTTATTGGGAATTATAGATTCTGCTTTTTGTGATCTTGACATCTCTTGATTTTTTGATTCATATAATTTTACATGCTAATATTTGTTCTACCATGGACCTCAAAGAGTTTCTTCATTACCAGTATATACAATCCAATTTCGATTACCTGATCACCATATTTTGAACTCCTTAGATTTTAATTTTCTTGTCATAAATAAAGCAGGTTATGTATCATTTGTAACTCTTAGGGAAAAAAGGTAGACAGAGAAGTATTTCAACGAGTGGTGTGTAAAAAGGGAGATGAAGGAAAATGATAACCTGTGGATGGCTCAACACGTGCTTTAGCTCCTCCTTTCTAACACCAGGCAGTCCTAAAAGGCAGTGAATCACTTTTAAGTTAACTTCTCCTACTATGTGAAGCCTATGACGGAGCAGCAAGTCATAGTTACGGTGGATGCTACCCCCAACAGAGTTCTCAATGGGAAGTACTGCTTTGTCCACCAACCACAATTCAACAGCCTGAGAAATGGGAAATAATACAATAGAGCTTTCAGAAAAGTCAAGATGACTGAGAAAATCTAAATGGGCACTAGTGAAAAATTATTACACCTTGAATGCAGCCTCAAACTGGTCACATGGGACAGTTTCGCACTCTGGATAAGCTTTTACTGCAGCAGTCTCACTATAAGCACCTGGAACCCCCTAATGCAGGGAAAACAAATAAATTGTTACTAAAAAACTAGGCAAGTCTTTTTAGAATAACAAAAATATCATCTACCTGGTATGCAATCCGGACCTTTGAACCATCACTGAGAGAAGGGTTAAGATTGGCTGCAGACAGGGGTTCTGCATTTGAAGCATATCAAGTCGTAAAAAATGCGTATAGGCAAAAAAAGTAAGATAGATTAAATCACTGCTGTTAAGAAATCTTGGAGTTGGCAAATTCTTGTGGCACCCCTGGTCCATGGACACAGTGGGTACGTATTAACATTTATTAGAGGGAAACCTGGGGAAGTCATTAACTACCGATATACCATTAGCTACCCCCCAAAAAAAAAAATCTCTGGTTTCTACTTACTAAAAGACAAGATACATTTTAGAAAAATGACAAGTTTACACAATCTTCATGACCAAATATATCACAAATGCATGTACATGAATGAAAACTAGAAGCCGGGGTCAAGAAAAGGTCTTAATTTTGATGACCATCCCAGTGGGTCCATAAAATGATTATCGGTCACTTTCTTTTTAGCGTAGAAAGATTCCCAACCAAGGAGAATCACCATGAGTAGAAAATGGCAATCATAAGCAACCAGAAAGTTCCTCAGAACTCCTTCCAAACACTAACAATTAAAGACCATCCAAACAGAAACACATCACCTGAGAAATGTCTTAATCATTAGATAAGCAAGATTCCTCACAGATCAATCATAGCCATCACCAACTAATTAATGACCATCATGGATCAAATCTAAGGCTAAATTTTGCACAGTTCACAACCCAAAAGTTAACTCAATCTACAATCTGCAATTCAATTTTATAAATAACAAAATGGAAACTTGCATTATTACACAGCAAACAAAACAACCATCCTGATAATCCCGAAAATGTTGCCACCAATTACATAATTCAGATCAATTAATTGTTCAGTTGATCCAAAGTAAGACTAATCTTTACAAGAGATACAACTTAAAACCAACTGCTTCTAGAGCTAAAATCTTTCCATTGCAATCTAAGACAACATAAAAAGGAAAAAGAAAATCCACTACACACACACACACACACACACACACACACCCACACCAAGAAATGGTAATCTTTATTTGGCATAGACTCACTTGGAAGAGAGTTTAAATCCTTATGAAACCTCCTGCGCTCGTTGATCTGAGTGGCCTTTTCGTTTCCAACAGGGGCGGCAAACCCAGGCGTCAAAGGGGTATCATCTTCTACGGGTGTGGTCGCCCTTTGAGAGGACGCACTCAAACACTCCCAATTTCTTCGAATCCTCAAATTCAAGAACGCAGTACTCCCTCCGTTTTTACACACCAAATCTGAGAGGCCCAATTCAGAAAATGGGAAGTTTTTTCTATCATTGGCGCTATAAACCCAGATAGGCGCAACCTTCAAAGCCACCATGTCTTGATATGACAACCCCAACGTAAAGTATAGTACTCACACAAACATAGATTCATGAGAAAGAATATGCCGGTGTCCCCCAGAGAGAGAAAGAGAGAAGGCAGCTAATTGTTAGAAATTTCTTCTGATTTTGGTTGTTAGGTAAAATTTAATTGACAGCAGGAGATAAACTCAGAATGGGGTTTGTATAACGTGTTCCACAACCCTTCAACAACAATGTAGGAGGATTATTAAAAATGTTGAAAAGCGGGAGAGAAGGAGAGGTAGGTGAGCAGAATAATGCTTACACGTTTTCACCTCTCTGTGTGTGTGCACGCCGGAGAGAGAATTTGTCGGTGGAAGAGTTTTGAAGCGGCAGAATACGAGAGCGATGAAGCCAAAACTTATGCAAGTGCACGCTTACAGGGGCCCAGATTAACTGCATGCAACGAAATCAAATTAGAATTTTTCCTTTTTTTTTCCCGTGTTTTTTTACGTGAGTGATGTTATTGTCTCGGCTTATAACGACGCCAGATGATAGACTGAATTTTGTTATAAATATAGCACTTTTATCCACCATTGTTGCAACCCTCTCACATGAGTGGATGGATCCCACCTCACGTGAAAAGAATGTCAAAATTGATGTACAAAAGTGTTATATGCATTATTTAGCCCATGTTTTAGACACATTCTTGTCTAGAAATGTATTTTTGAATATTGTATAAATGAAAAATATGGTTAAAAATAAAGAATATTTTTAGATTTGCGTGTAATATTAATTTAATAAAGAATATATGATTAAAATTGAGTTAAATCACTGTTGAAAAATGTATTTTTGTGAAAATAATGAGACTCAAACAAGGGCTTAATATCATATTAATGACATCTAGACTGAAATTGCAATCCCAGTGGGGTTACATAGCATTACTTTGACCTTTTTTTGTTCGTTTTGTTTTGTTTAAGAGAGAATATATGAATACTTTTTGGTTGGTTATCTTGTCACTATAATTTTGTTATATGTATAGCACTTTCATACACAATTGTTGCAACCCTCTCACATGGGTGGATGGATCCCATCTCATGTGAAAAGACCGTCAAAATTGTGTACAAAAGTGCTATATGCGTTATTTAGCCCTTGTTTTAGACACATTCTTGTCTAGAAATGCATTTTTGAATATTGTATTGATGAAAAATGTAGTTAAAAATAAAAAAAAATTTAAATTTGCGTGTAATATTATTTTAATAAAAAATATGTGGCTGAAATTAAGTTAAATCACTGTTGAAAAATATATTTTGATGAAAATAATGAGACTCAAACAAGGGCTTAATGTCACATTAATGACATCTAGACTGAAATTGCAATCCCAGTGGGATTACATAGCATTATTTTGACCTTTTTTTTCGCTTTGTTTTGTTTAAGAGAGAATACATGAATACTTTTTGGTTGGTTATCTTGTCACTATAATTTGTATTTGCTACGCTACATTTTAATTATAATTAAGTTTCTTAGTCTTTGTTCATTGTAGGAATTATTTCTTTAATTTTTTTGTGCTGAATTCTTATTTTCGACCTTACATTAATTAGTATGCCTCGTCTCTTGAAGATGCTCCAAACAAGATAAAATAAAAATCATATTTGTTAAATAAGTAATTACCGCAAAGAAAATAAAGAATGAAATATCTGCTTTTAGAAGCGTAAAACGCTTAAAAAAAATTTTGGTAATTGTTCGTGAATTTATAGTAATAGTGGTATTGTTTTGGTGGCAAATCGCTTTCTTCAACATAACAAGTTTTAGCAAGTCGCTATCTTGAAAAAGGTTCTT